GTGGGAAGGTCACAGCGCTCTGTGTGCCTTGGGCATTTAGTCACGCCGGCCACGTGATCACGGAGACGTCTTTGGACAGCGCTGGCTCTTTTTAACGGAGATGAGCACCGCCCACTAGAGCCAGAAACGCCTAGCACACATGCGCGAGGGGAACCTTTACCTAGAGTTGATAGGGTTTAAGGCATAAAATTAGGGGCAACTCCTCTGTATCCCTCCTGAAATCTCAGGTTGGACTTGCCTGCACTGAATCAAGAATGGGAAAAAGACAGAAGCCGCCTGTAAGCAGCTTGGCAAGAAGTGGGAAAGGAAGAGTAGTCGAGGGGAGATTTCCTTTGACATCTTTAGTCACCGAACGTCAGTTTTAGAAGTCTGTTGTGATCTGCCAAGCAGATCCAGCTGCCCAACCCCCTTTCCAGCATGCACACGCGTGTGTCACGAGGAGGCCATGGGGAAGACATGGACAGGGAAGTGGGGTGGGGTGAGGAACAAGACCCCACCCCAGGTCTGATCAGAATGGCCAGATTCAGGACAGGGAGCCTTTTTTTTTTTTTTTTAAAGCGGAGTTTGTAGAATAAAAATAACACATTGAATTGTGCATTATAAAGTCCAGCCCCTGAGATGCTAGAGTTGTAAATGACCAAAAAAAAAATCAGAATATGAGAGGAGGAAGAAATTGGAAATTAAATCAGTGAAAAGGCTTCCAAGAAATAATAAATATTTCTATAGCATTACTATGCCCTGCTATACTGCGCCACTTTTATTTGGTTGTAAACAGGCTAAATCTTCTCTAGGCCAAATGGGCAGCATGTAATAATAAAGTTGTTCTAGTCAAGAAGTCTTTGTTTAAAAAAAAAAAAATTAAAATCTCACAGTGAGCATTGCTCTTCTTCCTATCCATGACTGGTAGCATCTCTGTGGCTAAACATTAAGAAGTTACGCCATACTGATTATATTGAATGGCCACATGTTTGTTATATTTTGATATCTCTGCAGCAGTCCTGTGGTTTTCATGGTTACATGTTTCATTCTTTTTTTAAATACAGATTGAGTTTAATTTAATCGATCGAGTGGTTAAGGCTGCAACCTAGAAAACCGGGAGACTGTGAGTTCTAGTTCCGCCTTGGGCAGCAAAGTTGGCTGACTGACTTTGGGCCAGTTTCTCTCAGCCCAACTCATCTCAGGGGTAAATAAATAGTTGTGGAGAAAATAAGAGAGAGAGAGAGGAGCTTTAGGCCTGTTCGCCACCGTGAGTTATTTTATAAAAACGATAAAGGTGAGACGTTTGTGAGAATTACCCTTTGTGGCTTCCCCCATTTACCCTTTTCCACCCACGTCTACCCGGCACAATCATTTTCTGCAGAAGGTCCTTAGGCTGCTGTGCGTTGGGGCTGTTTGGGGCATTTGGGTGTGTACAATGTAGGTGAAGGGACTTCTCTTTGGCTTATGCTACCATTGCTGCTTCCGATGCTCTGTTGGGTTCATTAATCCCACAGAGTCCTAATGCTCGGTTTTGTCTCCAGATGTTGCCATTGGTAAGCCAAGGATTGTAGTTTCCTATTATTCATGGACCCAGGCAGCTGTTGATTGAAAAGCAAAGGGGTTGCCAGACACTTATTTCTCTCTGCAGGCGGCTGCCCTGACCAAGTAGGGAAGGGCAGAAAATACATATTTTTTTCCCTTGGGAAGAACTCCACGGTAGGAAATAATGTAGACCAGCGGTGTCAAGCTCAAAGCCCGCAGGCTAGATCTAGCCCACAATGTGGTCGGATCTGGCCCATGCCGCTGTCCCGGAACAGTAAGGGGCCAGCCTGTGTTACTTCGGCCCGGCCCATCCTGACAGGTGTGCATGTGTGCAGGTCCGGTCCACGCCATCCTGGCAGGCGCGCATGTGCCTAGGAGGCAGGCGCATGCTGGGATGAGGTGGGCCAGGCCTGTGTGCGTGTGCGCCCACCGCCTCCTGTGCAGATGTGTGCCCACTGGGGTGGCATGGGTTGGGCCTCTGCGCACATGTGCCTGGTGGGATGGGATGAGCCGGGCTGAAGAGACATGGGCCAGTCCCTTACCGTTTCCAGGATGGTCTTTCAGGTGTGTGTGTATGTGCAGGTGTGCAGGGGAGGTGTCTGGTAGCAGGGGTTCCACAGCTGGCACTCCAGGAAGCAGACGTGGCAGCGGCAGCACTGGCAGCAGGTAGTCAGGGAGGCACATGATGCACACCATCGGACGTGCCTGCTCCCATTCCCATGTGGCTGGGACAGGGCAGGTGGCTGCCCAGCGCATTCAGGAGGCCAGACCGTGTGTGCCTCCTCTCCCCTGCGTCTCTGTCTCCGGCTACTTCTGCTGCAGGCCAAGACAAGGTGAGGAGACTGTGGGGCGGCGGCTGCTGTCAGAGGCCATTGGCCCACCTACTCCATCCTGTCTTGTTTCTTGCTTGCTGTGGGAGAGCAGGTCGCTACTGGTCATCTCGCCCCTCCTTGGCCCGTGCAAGGAGCATCTTCCCTTTGCACACTCGACACACCTCGACACTGCTATAGCGCCATCGAGGCTGCCAGCAGCTCGTGCAGGTCCACGAGGCGACTGCCGTTGCCCCCCGGAGCACCAGGCCCACCCAGCTTGAAGGAGGCAAAGCGGCCAGCTAGCAAATCCAAGTGGACGGTGGTAGAGCGCACCCTGGCTCAGCCGGCAAAAGGTGGCCATCCCAAGCCGGGAAAGCCAGATCCCCACCAGCCCATTGGCTGCCCAGTCCCAGATGGGATTGTATGCCTCTCCCCTCCCCCCCACGCCCATCTTTGCTGGGCCCGCGCATGCTCTTCCACCTCTACGGCTGCTTCGCCTACTTCTGGCTAGTCTGGTCTGCTGAGCGGCCGTGGTGGGAGCCCACCGCAGGGCCAAGGTGCCTCAGGTACATGAGGGGAACACGCTCCACCCACAGGCCAAGGGCAAGACCACGAGGGGGCCAAGGAGAGGTTTAGCGGCGACTTGCTCTTTAACTGCAAGGCAAAACAGACAATGGGACGGAGTAAGCACGTCCAGCGGTCCTCGTTGACAACCAGTCCGGTGGTGGCAGAAGGCTCCGGAACCTCAGTGTGGGTCGGATCAGCATTATAGTTGTCTCTGAACTTTCTCTCCTCCCCCCGGTCCCTGGAGGACAATTATAACGCTGATCCAGTCCTCAATGAAATCTAGCTTGACACCCCTGACGTTTCTGCTAGTAGAAGAAAGGGAAAAAAAGTGGGCATATATCCATTGTAGTTGTTTCTATTCTTGAATTAAATGTAGTTTATAACCAAAAAGCGTGTTTTGTCAGGGAATGTGTGATGCTTGAACCAGAATCTCAGTAGTGTTTGTTTCTCCGGTTTAAAAGTCCCACCTATTGTGATTTTGATCTGGATATGAAGAATACTGAAGAGAAAGACTGATAGTAGACTGGCAGTACTTGAGGGGTTCTCGTAGAGAAGAGGGGCTCAGCCTCTTCCCCAAAGAACTTCCTTGGAAACATGAGTTACTGTGCGTGTTCATAACATCTCCTCCTCTGGCCTACGAAAGGAGCCCTCTAGGCAAAGGTGTATGGTTAATGAGGTGTAACTCACAGGACAGGAAACCGTAGTGTAAAATTTACAGCTTAAAATACAGGAAGATCAACAGGACAATAAAAAACCCACTTAGAAAATTGTTCCTGTGGGCTATGGCTCTACTGTCCCAGAGGCAGCATGGTAGTAAGGTTAATCTTTGACACATAACTCTCCCCAATTTAAATTCATCATGTATTATCTGAATTGCAACTTACCTTCATCATGTCCAGTAATTGCAAACCTCTAGTAACTTATGGAACAACAGACCTCAGAGTCAGATGGCCAAGGCCCGTAATGGTGAACCTATGGCACGCATGTCAGAGGTGGCATGCAGAGCCCTGTCTCTGGGCATGCGAGCTGTCGCCCCAGTTCAGCACAGGCCTCCTGCCGGCCAGCTGGTCTTAGGATCTCTGCTGCACATGTGTGGGGGAGTGAGGTGCACATGGGTTGTGCGTGCAGAAGTGGGGGCAGAGGTGTTGCCTGCGCATACGTGGGATGTCACGTGTACATGCATGGTGGTGCAGAATAATGTCAGTCTGCTCCATTCAAAATCCAGGAAAGAAACGCTCAGACTCCAATGGTTAGAGCAAAGTTTTCTCTTTTACTAAATTTCAAAGTGGAAGCTGTGGGCCGTGCACGTTTGTTGCATTTTGGGAATACGCACAGATGTGCTTTGGGCACTTAGTGCCAAAAAGGTTAGCCATCTCTGGCCTAGGCTGTGGAGAGCCCCGTTCAAGACCATCTTTGGCCATGAAAACTTTGGGACTTTCAGCCCAACCTGCCTTACAAGGTTATGGGAATGCTCTAGATCAAGGGTGTCAAACTCATGTTGTCACGGCGTCATCACGTGATGTATCGGGACATTTTTCCCCTTCTCTAAACTGGGCATCCGGCCCGCGGGCTGCGAGTTTGACACCCCCGCTCTAGATGAAAAGTTAAATTCATAATGTGAATTATGAGCTGGAAGATGTGACAAGGCAAGGCTCACATTCTAGCAGAAGCCCCCAGAGACCCTCTGCCTTTCATGGTTTCATGGCTCTGAAGCTTGTTCTGCTCATGCTGTACAGGGCGCGTGAGCTGCGAAAGCCACACGTACCAGGCAGGGCTTCCTCGGACGGCATCGAACCCCATTGATTCTGACATCCCTAGCAGACTATGCTTTCTCTTCAGCTGATCGACAAGGCTGGGGAGGGGCTTCAGAGCAACATCGTCCCCCAGTCTGTAGGCTTCTAGAGTATTCCCATTCTCCTTGCCTCCTGCTCCCAGTTCAGTGGAAACTTTCAGAGCAGCTTCCCACCTGCCAAGCTAAATGTTTGTATCACGGTGTAACGGGTGACTAAGCACACATTCCTGACTTAGAGATTCAGACAGTCCTCCAGCATTCTTCCCAAAGGGTTCAACAAGACTGGTCGGGGGCGAATCTCAAGCAGGATGAGCGCACTTCAGCAAGTGGTACAATTTTAAGTTTTATTTATGGGATCAGCTGGTGGACTTAGCTATTCTTCCAGAAATCCATGGGACGTAGTGGGGTAATCACTCCTCTGGGGAAGCCCAGGGCTTGCAGGAGTTGGGGGGGACCTCATCATACTTCCCTGGGTGAGGGGAGCTACTCCCCAAAGCAACAAGACAGCCCCGCAGTCTGCCAGGTAGAGGGAAAGTTGGTCTTCAAGGGAGATAACTGGTTGAAAAACAAGTTGAAAAACTCCTCAAGGGAAACAGCAGCCGCAGTTGTGATTTTTAAAAGTTGGCCAAGCATCCGCCTTGCTGCAGTAGTGCCGATGCGGATTACTCCAAGACAAAAAATGACAGAGGTTTCATTCTTCTGGTGGCTTTTAAGAAATGGAGCTGGTAGCAAGATTTCAGGGTTGGCGAGTAGGTTCAGATATTTAACATTCCAACCACCTGAAATGCAATGTGAAAACCACAAAATCTCTAGGCAACAATCAAATTCCTCTCAAAGGAAGCCCCTGCAGGACAAGGTTAGGGAGCTGCCAGTCCCCAAACTTCCCTTTGGGCCAGTCAAATGTGGCAGATCGCTCCCCAGAGTCCCCCCGTCCCCCCCAGCCTTCAAGGTTAAGCCGCTGCACCCACCACACGGAATAAGGCAACTGAATCTTGGAGTTGGGGAAGAGGGGGTCATTTCTGATTTGTTTATTAATAAAGTTTAAAGCATTGCTTTAAGCCAGAGGTGGGTATTCAGCAGGTTCTGACCAGTTCTGGAGAACCGGTAGCGGAAATGTTGAGTAGTTTGGAGAACCGGCCAATCCCACCTCTGACCGGCCCCACCAACCCCATCTCTTCTCTGCCTCCCATTGAGTCCCAGCTGATTGGCTGGGTCTTCTTTGGTTGCCCTGCCCAGGAGAACGGAGCTGGAAAGCAGGTTAGTGGGGTGGGGAGGGAATGGAGATTTTACAGTATCCTTCCCCTGCCACGCCCACCAAGCCACGCCCACAGAACCGGTAGTAAAAAAAAAAGTATCCCGTCACTGCTTTAAGCCCATAATAATGAGTCCCTTTGTATGTAACTAAATAGAAATTTAATTTACATAGTTCTATGTACATAGTTCTGTAGATCAGGGGTCCCCAACCACCGGGCTGCGGACTGGTACTGGTCCGTGGAACATTTCCTACCAGGCTGCCGGTTTACTGGGCGCCGCCATCTTGTTTGACGAGAAAGTGCTTCCGGGTGAGCTTTTCAGGTTGGAAAGCGGCGTTTGGGTCCTGAAGGAATCCTCGCGCCTTAGTTTCATTGAGGGGGGGGCTTCGAACGAAACTAAGGCGCGAGGATTCTTTCAGCACCCAAGGCAAGGCAAGCTGAGCGACCATCCCGAAGCCATCCCGGAGCGAAGCCCATCGACAAAGGTACAAAGGAGGAGTTGAAGGTGGCAGGGAGAAGCGGGGGATGGCTGGCTGGCCGGTCACTCAGCTCGCCTTGCCTTGTCATGCGTGCTGATGCCGGTACCGGGCCGCGGATCATTTTGTGATGCCGGTACCGGGCCGTGGCACAAAAAAGGTTGGGGGCCACTGCTGTAGATAGAACCTCTTATGTACAGTGGATATAGAAAGTCTACACATCCCTGTTAAAAAGCCAGGTTTTTGAGATGTAAAAGAAATCTGATCAGGATAAATCACATCGAAATATTTTCCACCTTTAATATAATTGTACAAATAAACTGAAATCTTTTAGGGCAAAAATGACAATAAAAAAACTTACAATAATGTGATTGCATAAAGTTGACACCGATAAGCTAATACTTTGTTGAGGCACCTTTGGATTTTATGGCCGCATTCAGACTTTTGGGATAGGAGCGTCTCGGTGTGGCATGTCTTGCCTTGGGAATCGGCCCGCTGCTCCTCACAAAAGAGCTCACAAGTCACTGCACAGATTTTCAATTGGATTCAACTCTGGCCTGTGCTGGGCCTTTCCCCCAAAACTGATCTGATGAAGCCATTCTTTTGTTGGTTTGGAGATATTATTTTGGGGTCGTCACGTTGAAAGGTAAAATTTCTTGTCAGCCCTCTCAACTGGCTCAGCTACAAAAGAAAAACTCTCAGGCCCGTGGTTAGCCCAAAGTACACTTTATACTGAAGCCAAGCGGGTTTCAGAAAAGGCAATGTTAAGTCTGGGAGTTTTGTGCCCAAAGCATTCTTAACTTCTCCTTAATTCCACCCACCTACCTGGTTATCAAAGAGTGTCCAATTAGGTGCTAACACATTGTTTGGGTAACAATCCCTGTCTTTGTGCATTCCTTTGGGTGACCTTGGAACAGCCAGTGATTCTCGCAGGATGCATGGTTTTGATTTCTAATGCTAACCTTCCCTTTACTCCACCCTACTGATCTCTCCCCTCTGTTGCATATGGCAGGCTGTCAACAGGTAATACATAGCATAGAACAGTGGTGGCGAACCTATGGCATGCGTGCCAGAGGTGGCACACAGATCCCTCTCTCTGGGCACACGCGGCATCACCCCAGTTCAGCTCCACCACGTTTCTCTGTGGGATTTCTCTCCATTGCTTGTAGAGAAACAAGTTTCCCTGCATATAAAGCAAAAACTCACGAAGGAAAAAGATCTCACCTCTTGCAGAGCTGCTGTTGGCATGCCCTGCCTCCTGCCAGCCAGCTGGCCTTTGGGTCTCTGCGGCACATGCGTGGGTGCACCAACGTGTGTCCACGTGCCTTTGGGAATACATGCACACGCTGGGCATGTATACCTAAAAGGTTCGCCATCACTGGCATAGAAGAACGTCAGCTCTGACCTTCCTCTTCATCTTCAGCATTTTATTTTATATATATATATATGTATATTTTTTTTATTTTTAAATACATATAAGTATTGAATACCTAAACAACGTTGCATCTGGGTATCATTAATTTTGATACCAAATAATAGAGATAATATTGACAATCTTGGTAATCTTAGTTATATTAATCAGACATCATTATAATAACATTGTACATAATACAATAATCTTTCAACTTCTGACCCTTTCATCTACATACTGATTGTAAAATATTATATAGTAATTGTGATGACCCGGGGCGTGACACAAAAATAATGAAGTCACAAAAGTAGAATAAATTCCCTTTAATGCCTCCAACTTGGCCCCCAATGTCCAGTTATCCTCGGCTGGAGATCAAACTCTTCCAAAAACAATCTACGAAGGGAAGAAATGCAGTCCGAACTCAAAGTAAAGCTAATTAGAAATAAAAAACCAACACAAACCACACTGAAGTAATTAACACGACAGACCAGGATGATAAATTGCAGACTTCCAACAGATAACGCAGCACCTACAGTTGGGAGGATGCCAAAAGCCAGATATGACAAAAATAATGCACGCTTTGCTTCCAGCAAGGTGCTGTGTACAAACGCCTTTCTTATTTCCTGTTCTTCCAGCTGCAACTAATAAAAGGGATCAGGGCCTTTTTCTCCCCTGTAATCCACATTGCTCCCTTATCTGTTCCTCCCTTCATGTCCTAGGATAAAGAGGGGGTGGGCCTGGGTCTTCCTCTGAAGGCCCAGCCGGACTGTGCCCCTTCCCCTGTTTCTTCCACAGCCACCAGAGCTACACTCCCACTCCCTGTCAGCTGCTCGACCTCCCCCACAGAATCGGACTCCAACAAGGGCATGGCAGTAATGTGCATAATAATATTTCCCCCCTCAAATTTCTACCTCTATTCTAAATCTTAAAATTACACATGTTATATTAATAGGTATTATATTTCTATCTATAATCTCTTGTTCATTTTAGTATTTCAATTCTTGATGATTTTTGGCATGTTTTCCATACTCCTCCCTTGGGATTTTATATTAATTACATTAATCATACTCACATCATTATAGTAACATATTAGAATTAAAGTTGTTAACATTGTAGTGTTTGTTCCACCATGTATATTATTAATTATTCAGTATTTTGATACACAATACTATTAACCATAATAATGTGGGTTTAAGTGTACAAAATACAATCAGTTTTTAACTTCTAAACCTTTCAGTACATACTAATTTTAAAATACTATATAAGAATATACATAATATTTCCCTTTTTCTAATTCTTACCTCTATTATAAATCTTAATAGCACAAATCTTACATTAGTAGGTATTCTATTTCTATCCAGCATCTCTTGTACTGGTTCAAACAGGTGAAATAAAGAAAAATTATACTAAACTACTTAGTAAACAGAAAAAACTTGAGAAATAGAGGGAAAATTTTAAAAAGGAAACAGAGTCATTAAAAATCAAAATGCTTATTCCATCTCTTTCTACAAACATATTTTTAAAAAGGAAGAAACAAAATTATCAATTGTCTAGCACGGTTCCATGATTTTAATGTTGTGATTTAATTTTTAAACAATGAATTGTACCTAGACTACATGAAGCACCATGTAGCCCGCCTGAGCTATGAGCATTCCTGCACTGGCCATCTTTTTTACTATCTGTGTTGGAGATACATTCTGTAGCATCTGCCACGCAACACCTGCCCCTTTCTCTGCTTCTTCTACTTCTCCTAGACCCAGGACACGGAAGTGCCATCACCCAGGGAGCTTCCAGCATCTCCTGCCTTCTTGCCTCGATGCGTGTGGTCTTGGGGCACCATCTGCCTTCCCTAAAAAGCTCTGGCGGTGGCACAGACAGCTGCTGTCCTTAGGACAGGCACTTCAGGCCACTCCCAGAGTCCCTGAGAGTCAGAAAAGCATGCATTTAAATTTAATTATCTATTTATGCAATGCATTTATCTCAACAAGTGACTCTTGAGTTGCAAACCATATTCAATAAAAAATAAAAGCGATGACAACCATATAGAACAAAAATTAAAATACTTTATACCAATGCAGCCAGGCGATGGGACCCTGAGGCAGGTCTTTAGAAAGGCCAGCAGGGGGAGCCATCCTAATCTCTGGAAAGAGAATGTTCATAGCGGGACATGAAGGCCACTCCAAACAATGATCCTTAGCCAACAGGACCCAAATGCTAGGCTGGATTGGACAGGTCCCCAGGGAATATTATTGTTTACTATGGATTTGTCCTTATTGCTAAGCCATGGCTGCTATGCCAAAACAAGTATTTCACTGACAGCTAAGAAATAAAATATTAAATTATATTCAGGGGGTGGGTGGGGGGCAGGCATAGGAACATTCAACCTATGAGAAACTCTGGCGATACAGCATCACCCTTAGCCTGTGTTATTTTCTATGGTGGCCCCAGTGTTTACAGTATGTCCGACTCCCTTTTTCCATCGGTTTGCCTGTCCCCTTAAGGGAATGCATCATGGTAAATATAGTGAAAGGTATCCTGGGAAATGTAGTTCATGTCACGTGGCCACATCTGTAATCCCGATTGGTCACTCATTTAACCCTCCATGGGTTGGGGGAGGTTTTCCTCATCCTTCCCTGAACTCACGAACTCATGGCAGCTGCTTTCTATCACTACGAGATAGGTTAGGAGATAACCATCTTTTACCTACAAGACAGATATGCAAAGGATGGGTCATTAAAGAAGAACTTCATCACAAATGTGAGTTATGAGGATACCTGATGAACTAATAAAAGTACTTTGTTATGGATGTTTTGTGGAGTTCATCCACCTGCATCTGTACAGCTTACAAATCCATCACTGTACAGAGTACAGAAAACTCCCTCCCTCTCTCCCCGCCCTTCCTCTCTCTCCTCCCTTCCCTTGGAGGGTGTGAATCCCAGCAATGGGCACTTGGGAGTCTTCAGCTCTGATGATGGTCCATCCACTTCCTGCCCAGGTGCTGCACTTGCCAGACTTTACCTGTGATTCTTCCCCAGGTTCAAGGTAAGATCCTGATCCTGACAATCTGCGCAGCTGGGATTGGCGGCACTTTTCAGTATGGCTACAATCTCACCATCATCAACGCCCCCACTGTGGTAAGGCAACCCTTTTCTTACCACGCTCCTTGACCACCTCTCATTGGAACAGGCCCCCGAGGAAGGACAGCCTCTCAGCCCCTTCCCCGCCCCCTCGCCCCGGTTTTGGGCCCGTCTCGTGAGTTCCTTGGCAGATGCCCCCCTCACCTCTCAAGGTGAAGAAGGGCAGCAGGACAGGTTGGCCTTGGGCCTCTATCAGGAGACACTAACAATACCCTCAAACCCCTCTGATGTGTAGCCGTGTCCTCTTGGGCAGGGGATTCAGAAATGGCAAATGGCCACTGGGATGGCTGCCCTTCCCTTAAGCCACTGGCCTTCTGGACAGCTCTCAGATCTTCCTGCAGTTTTTCAGGAGTCAAAGCTTGTGGAGCAACTCAATTTAGATCTCCTCCTTCGTGGCTCCTCTCCCCCACTGCCACACTGGCAGACCCCAGAGCAGCTGGTCTTCAGTGGGTTGGGGGCTCCGTGTGATCCAGCTCTAATTTCTCCCACACAATATATTTCTTTTTCTCTCCACCCTGCAGTTCATCCAGTCCTTTATTAATGAAACCTGGCTGGATCGCACTGGAGCTGCCTTGGAGGGAAAGATGATCACGCTGGTCTGGTCCTTCATTGTTTCCGTGTATCCCTTGGGGGGCCTGGTTGGTGCACTAATTGCTGCTCCCATGGCTGTGAAGATGGGCAGGTGAGTGGCTGGGAGGTCCGGGCTGGGCTGGGCCAGCCTCTCTCAGCAGGAGGAATGTCTCCTGGTGTCTTCTGGAACTGGATTCAGCGAGAAGCATTTGGATACTGGACTCTGGAGAGCTCTCTTTATCAGCTGCGTATAATGAAACCAAATGGAATGTCATTGAAGCTCCTTTTTGCCTGCTTAACTCTATCCTGGTAACCTGCTATTTTCTCCATGTTGACAGGTTCCATTTGGATGATCCTGATCATGAATACAGCCTGGTCAGGAGTGAGGGGCAGAAAACCTGGGTGCTCCATACGCTGGCAGATGGAGCTGGGAGCTGGAAGTTGTAGTCTAGCTGTGCAAGCGTTCTTGTCAGAGGGCTGCAAACTAAGGAGGGTGAGGGCGGGACGGGGACAACCGTCTCTTTCCTCCCGTGTGGCTGCTTGCAGACCAAGGAATGCAGGGTCCCAGGAGGAGCCCTGTAAGCAGAGACCCCTGGAGTTTCATTGGCATCCAGGTACGCATTAAGGCTTTCCAGTCTGCACTCCCGCGCCCAGATTTCTCTCAGGGTTTGGCATCATCAGCCTTGGAGGCGCAGTGGTTAGAGTGCTGTACTGCAGGCTCCTTCTGCTGCCTGCCAGTGCCTGCAATTTGACAGTTCGATTCTCCCCAGGCTCCAGGTTGACTCAGCCTTCCGTCCTTCCCAGGAGGGTAAAAATGAGGACTCAAAATTGTTGAGGGCAAGAGGCTGGCTCTCTGTAAACTGCTTAGAGAGGGCTGTAAAGCACCGTAAAGTGGTATAGAAGTCTATGTGCTATTGCTATCTCAGCTCTTGGGAAAGGATTTATGGCGACTCACAGCAGCCAGGTGGTCGCGTGGCTCAGTCGCCACAATTAGGTGGGCGTGGCTGGGTGAGTGTGGATGACTTGAAGTGGCTAGCTCAACGCCACTCACTCAACATGGCTGACTCGGTACAGCTGGCCAGGTGGGCATGGCGGGGTAGATGTAACCAGCTCAGTCCTGCTGCCTCGGGACAGCACAGAACAAGTCACACTGGCTAACTCAACAGGGGAACAATTTGGTGCCCCACAAGTTTCTCACCTCCCCAAACTGCTGGCAGCTAAGCACGTGCATACATGGTGTGTGTGTGCATCCAGCACACCAAAGGAGATGTTCTTGTCCCAGATATCCGAGTGCTGGTATTTCCCAGTCCGATACCTCCTCTTGTCAAAGCAGCAGGTGGAGAAGGATGTGTGTGGAAGCGTGCTGGAGAAAGTTTGCCAAAAGCCGTTTCCTCTGGGTCCAAATCCTGCCTTGACCAATCTCTGGAGAGAAGGAAGAGGCACAGGGGAGGCTGGCCAGGCAAAGCAGGAAGCGGAGGGTGGCATTGCTGCATGTGGAGGTGAGGGGTTCAACTTCTGCCTTGACAGATCTCTGGAGAGCAACGAGAGGAGGCAGGGGAGCAAGAAGGTTGGCCCTTCTGGAAAGGGAGTCCCTCACGCAGCTCCCCCGCCACCCCTTCTTCTCTCCAGAGATCTTTTCTCCAACCAAGAAAAAGAAAGAAAGAAATGACATCCTTAATATATTATAAATGAGTGCCTGAAGACTGTACCATGTCCTGGTGCAGATCAGCAATGACATGATTGATGGATTGATTTTATATTGCCGCCTATTCGCCCATGGCGACTCGAGGTGGCTTACAGAATGTGAAACCATATTTAAAAAAAATAAAAAAGCAATAAAAAGGAACAAAAATAATCAAATAAATGAATAAAGTACAATAGAACAAAATCTAGAAAAAAAAATCCCCCCCCCCCCCCCCCCCCCCCCCCCCCTGCCCCAATGACAGCACGAGCCATTTGATGGGCTCCCTCCCACTCTGGATCCCCAGGCCCGCTGGCAGAACCAGGTCTTCAGGGCCTTCCAGAAGAGTATTAGAGTGGGGGCCATTCTAATCTCGGGGGGGGGGATGATATTCCAGGGAGAGGGAGCCACCATGGAGAAAGCCCTTCTTCTGGGTCCCACCAGGTGTATCTCCCTCGGGGATGGGACCCGTAACATTCCCTGCCTCCCCGGTCTGATGGGTTGGGTGGATGTGACCAGCAGGAGACGTTCTCTCAGATCACCTGGTCCCAAGCCATGAAAGGCTTTAAAGGTGACAACCAGCACCCTGAATTGCACCTGGAAGCAAATCGGCAACCAATGCAGCTCCTGCAGGAGAGGTGACACATGTGCACACCGGGGTCTGCACAAAACCATGCGGGCCGCTGCATTTTGCACCAACTGGAGCTTCCGGATGCTCTTCAAGGGCAGCCCCATGTAGAGCGTGTTGCACTAATCAAGACTGGAAGTGACTAGGGCCATGATGGCGAACCTATGGCATGCGTGCCATAGGTGGCACAAAGAGCCATTTGTGCTGGCATGCGAGCTGCAGGCAAACTTACTTCACTGCACATGCGCACACCTCACAGCTGATTTTCAGCCCATTTGAGGCTTTATTCAGCTTCCCAAAGGCTTGAGGAAGGCTTCTGCAGGCTTCTGCAGGATTTGCAGGCTGAAAACTAGCCCTGTTTCATCACTTCCTGTTTTTCCGAAAATACCAGAAGTGACGAAACAGGGCTAGTTTTCGGCCTGCAGAAGCCTTCCTCAAGCCTTTGGGAGGCCGAAAGAGGCCTCAAACCAGCCGAAAATCAGCTGTGAGGCCCAGTCAGGTAAGGGGGCGGCAGGGGTGGGTGGGGATTGCATCCACATGTGTAGGGGGCATGCGGGGCACACGTTGCCTTCTGGGTGCTGGCACGTGAGCACAAGTGTGCAAGTGCATGCACAATTTTTGGCACAGGAGCCCAAAAAGGTTAGCCACCGCTGGGCTAGGGCATGAGTGACTGTGAGTAGGGACTGTTGGTCCAGGAAAGGGCGTAACCGGTGCACAACCCACAGTTGCACAAAGGCTCTCCTGGCCACGGCTGCCGCCCGCTCCTCAAGTAGGAGTCGTGAGTCCAGGAAAAACCCCAGATTACGCACAGGGTCTGTTTGGGGTAGTGCCACCCCATCCTAGACCAAAGGTGGCAATTCTCCCTGAGCCAATGAACCCCAAACCCAGAGCCACTCGGTCTTGCAAGGGTTTAATTTCAACCCATTGACATGCTCAATTGTTCCCCTTTAAGAATCTTTACATTATGTTTTCCAACTCTAGTTTAAAAATAATCTTCATAGCCAATTTTTTGTAATAAATGCTTTGCTGATAGGTTGGCTTATATAAAATGGACAATTGCTTTTAGAACTAGCCAAAAGTAAATCCGCACCAGAAATGACAGTAATATTTATGATGATTTTATATATATATATATATATATATATATCAGATCAATGTATGAACACTATTATATATTCTGCATCCATGACCTGCAGCAAATATACTTGTCTTTCTGGCATAGACCTGCTGTGGCTATTTCTAAGCAGTAAATTATGCCGCAATCTGTTAATATCTAATGAAACTCTAGCTAAAAATGTAGACAAAATTGGGGAGAAAGTCCACTGAATATCAAACAATCTCAGAATTAAGTCAAGAGTTTCTGAAGTCTTTAAACAACTGTAAGTACAATAATCCATTATATGTGGGGACCTGTTTATTTCATAAAAGTATTTGTTTCATTTGCCTGCCTTGTGCAGGACCAGGGAGCGCTGCTCTCCTGCCTCCTCTCCTTGCTCTCCAGAGATCGGTCAAGGCCGAAGTTGGACTCAGAGTGTTGTAATGACGAGGCAGTCGAGGTGTTTGATCATGATCAACTGAATCAGGATGAACTTTATTGGAGTCTTGCATTTATACACATTTTTAGTAATCCTCCAACATTGGTTAACTTTGGTTTCTGCTTAACTTTCGTTACTGTTTAGCATAGTAATGAACACAATTAATTATCTCTAGTTAAAGTCTAACATATGTTTACTTCCTCTCTCTAATCCTCCTTTACATTAGTGACTTGGTTTGCCTGAGTTGTAATTGCTTGTAAACACTCCTTATCTGAGGTTTGCCATCCAAGATAAGAACATTCCTGCAATTACAACTCTACACGGAGGAAACGGCTTCCTGCAAACTTTCTCCTCCGTACTTCCGGGCACAGCAGCATCGT